TCATATTTTATCATATTTATCCTAATTTCAATTTGGAAGAGGCTTATTTTTGGTTTTCGATGTTTGAAAGATTCAACCGAAACCAAACTAAAAATTATTCAATTAACATCAAAACCAAAACAATAAAAATTAAAAACCATTGAAATCAAACCAAATTCATTTTTCGGTTCAATTTCCAAGTAACCCGTTGATTCGGTTTCCAAAAGCCCAGCCCTACGAGTGTCAATCTTCTCTAATACTCTACATAACTCTTAAAGAAAAAAAAAGAATTGGCAAACATTATTTTTAAGGGGAAAAAAAAACTCTTGATACATAATAAAAATATGTGATGGTTGCACATATATAAAGCTTCAATTTCCCGAGCTCGTCGCTTGGAAACTCAGGGTGAGATTACTCTCCTTCTGAGTGTTTCCTTGTTTCCAAGTGGCCGAAAGCCCCAGTCAAATTCCTTTACGTCCATATTGCCCCTTTTTGAAGTTTGACTTGCATCTATATTTCTAAAAATGAGGAAATACTTCTTGAATTTTGTCATTACTCTCTTTTTACATGAGAGTTAACCTCCTTAACCCATCCTAATGTTCCTGGTATAATATAAATGGACTTTCTTTCTACCAAATTAACATTGAACATATTTTTATTATTAGAGTAAAGAATTTATCAACACAGAATTCAAACAATACCCCCACACTTATATTTCTTCTATTTCAAAATAAAAATTATTTTTTGACTTTAAAATTGTCTCAAATTAATTGTCTTTTTTTTTTTTAAGGTAATCAAATATTTTTTTAATATTTTAACTATATTATTATCCATTCATTTTAATTAATCACCTAATCATAAAAAATCTCTTTTTATCTTTTATTTATTTTTCAATGGTATTATAAAAAAATACAAATATTGTCATCAAATTCTTAATTTAAAGAAAAAAAAACTATAATTATTTTAAGATAAATGAAGACAAACAATCACTACTAGAAAATAGCATTTAAACGACAAAAATATAATTGACAGTAAAAAAGCTGTCGATTATATTAATAAGTCAATTATATGGGGTATAATCGACAACCAATTATATGGGGTATAATCGATAGCCATTAGCTGTCGAATATAAGTATAATCGATAGTCAATAGTGACGGTTGATTATGTCAAAATTTTATAGATATATATATGTTAATATTTAACATTCTACTA